TGTAGCACATAATCAAAGAAAGAGAGCTGGCAGATTCAGCACTATTATCTTCAGCATGAGGCCTGGCATGGTTCAAAATCCACAAACACCATCAGAGTGAAAGAGCGATTCCACCGAGTCAACACCCAATGTCAATGCACCAATGTCAATATACCGTAACGTTTAGGTCGATCGCCTCATCCTACCGAAGGAAGGGCAATCTACGAAAGCAATTTCCAGTAGGGAAACCACTATAAGTATCGAACTTGAAAAAATTCCACAGATCCGTGTTTTTCTACGTTATATCTAATAATATATGTTACTCCTCCTAAGTCTTTATCTTTACCTAGTATGGACATAGTAAGAAAGGAAATACACAGGGGGTACGTTTGTATTTGAGAAATCATCATTTCTCATTTCTACCTTGGCAAGCAGTAAGTGAGGTCGGTTACAACTGGACGGCTAGAGCCCGTAGCTAGGGTGCAGGCAGTATATTTAGAATTTAAATTTGTTAGCGCCGGTACGGCACTATCCATACTTGTATTCGTGGACGAAGGACGCTGGAACATAGCTTGTACAACGAGGTGACGAATGTCATGGCGAGGCCGGAGGATCCAGGAGACCTGCTGGTCCCTGGACAGCAGTTTGCGGACCTGCTGACATTCCGGTTCACGCAATGGGGCTTGCCGAACTTATCAGGGACCATGGCAGCAAAAGCAAACAAATACGGATGCTCAACCTAGATGCAGCAACTGTAGATGGTGGAAGCTGATGCAAACATAGTAAGGCATAGAGTGTGTGGGCAACCGGTGCTGCGTTGACAGCAAAATGACGCGACCAGGATGGTGAGCGCGATCGATACGTTAAGTTGAAAATTAAAAATAGGTACAGACAAAGGCAGTGGACAGACTCACGCCTCTGGAGCGGTCCCCCGTTGTATATGAATGTAACGGTGGCTCTTTGGAGCACTCGCTGGTGATATAGACATGTGGACATGTGGTGTGAAACGTGTCTTGTGTGGACCACAAGATGAGTCACCTAAAGCAGTAAATGCAATAGTGAACTCAATGCATTGACACGTAATAAGGATGTTCCGAAGCCTACGATCGACAGAAACACCAGGAATGGTCTACATATGAACAGTAATTAGCTAGCCAAAAAGGAAAGTTGAACTGTGCTGGTGCGCTTGTCTTGCTTTGCCAGTACTTCTACTAGCCCACAATGTTTGGGCGCAAACCTAGCGAAGAGGAGCGGCTGAAAAACTTTTTTAACCGCAGGGCTCGCTCCAACGTTTCTCACAATGAAATCCTAGGTTCTGTCGAGGGACAGACCGGTGAAATAGGCAGTAAAGACTACTCGTTTGGCCGAGGGGACCGGGGCGGCTGATTTCCTCGCGAATCATGAGTTATAAAATGCCTACAAAGGAAGCTCTGTCGCTAGAAAGCAAATCACTAAAAAGCCCGGAGATGTCGATTGACCGATAGCTGCTGGGCATAAAAGTACAGTACAATTACTGTACTAGGTAATTGTAAACGTCAACTCTTCGAGGACCCCTATATAGTTCGCTGCCGATCTTTAAATGTCAGGGAGAAGTCGGAAAGTTTCAATACAAACGGCCTGATGGATTTTGGTCCACAAACATGTTAATTCAGTGAAAGTGACGGTTGGAACTGCTGATCGATACACAGGAATTTATTCGTTAAAATATAATTGTCTATCCCTCCGATGCAGATTAATTAGCTACTTTGTTTATTCACATAACAATTTTGAGGCCGCTTGTGCCCTACGCTGCCAACATTTCGAACTTATTTGTTCTCCCGAAGACGTAGTTTGCTCAGACAGCAGTTGTAAGTCTAGGAAGTATTTTTGAAAATTTCATTTAATTCATTAATTATGCTTATTTTTAATGCCGGCTCATTTATTTTTGCTGTTCGGTGAATAGAAGCATTTTAGAAAGTACCTAATTTTAGATTTAAATGTCAGATTATACGAAATTCATACTCCTTAAACTTAACTGAAATACACTGTAGCTAAATAGCTATATATTTTGTGACTTAATATTCACTGCACTATTGTGTTAGAGGACTTGCATGTAGTGCGTATCTCGGAATTCATCGTATCGCCCCCTAATTACAATGTTCCGGTACCAAAGAATAAAATGGTTCCAGTCGGCCCATATACCCAATCACGGTGCAAAAAAAATACGGCGCCTGGATTGATGTCTTGCTTTGGCAACTTTTTCCGGCATATGCCTATGGCGAAAAACCCATGCTCAGATCACACTAAATGCGTTATAATAGGGTTGGGG